ACGCCGTGCACGGGCCCGTCCCCGCGCAGCACGCACACGGCCTTCAGCCCCTCCATGTTCCCGCGCGCAGGGCCAGGCCACAAAACACAAGCAACCAAAGAAGCAGCGCGCACTGGCGTGTTCCACCCTCTGAGCCGCGCCTTTTAAAGCCACCCTGGCGCCCTTCAGCCAATCACAGCGCTACCCCGCCCCGGTCGCACCGCCTCCTCTTCCCCACCCCTCCCTCGCAGCCAATCAGGAAACAGCAGCCGCGCCCACCCGCCAATCAAAAGGCGGAGTGCTGTTGTCGCACCAATCGGCTGCCGCGACGCTACTCCTGCTCGGAGGTGCGGGGGGGAGACCTCGTTCTGGATTTTGGCGGGGGGCGAAGTGCCCTTGCCCTCAGCCCCTTTCCCACCCTGGGAACAGCAGTGCGCATGCGTGGGCAGAGCCTGATGGGTGCGGGTCCCAGGGCTGCAAAAGCACCTGCCTTTGTCTCCTCAGCCCTGACGGGGAGGTGGGATGGATGCCTACGGCCAGACATGCTCTTGCCACGTTTAGTTCCCCCTTGCCAGGCCTGACTAGGCACAGCTCTGCAGGCTTCCTCTTGGGCGGTAGGGACGGGGCAGCTAGCCTATGCTGCAGCATGCCTCAGCTACAACTGTTACCTCCGGTCAAATATGCCACAGATGTGGGTAGGCCTACTCTAACACACCTGGGCCCACCCCACCTCTCGGGGAACCAGGCAATAGTGAGTAAAGATGAGTAAGAATTTGCTAGATGGAGGTTGAGGATTATGCATCAGTTATGGCTGCTCATGTACACAGCAATGCAGCGTGCCAGGCACAAATGTCAAATGCTATTTAAGCCCCAATTCACAGTGCCTATCTGTAGTGAGTGTTTGAGCTTCAAATCAGGGAGGCAGAAACAGGAGCTGCTTCTTACTCCAAATGCAACAGCACTGGGCATTTTCACATGTGCTCCGGATGGGGTGCTTTTAATAAGCAAGCTGTGCTAATTAAAGATGCCCATGTGGCATGTATATTGGAGGCATAGCGTATCCCTGTGGTGAGAAAAATGACAGGGTGCTTTGAACTAAAGCATATTGAATGTTCAAAGAGCACTGCTGCCATTTTCTCAGCACAGAGGTGTGCTGCACTGCTGATACACATGACACGCAAGGCTGCCAGAGCTCTTCAATTTATGTGCTCCAGCAGACTCAATTAATGGAGTCTGCTTCAAGGTGCTGTTGGAGTATGCTCCCTGCACATAAGTGCCATAGAAGACTAGATTTAGACCATTCAGAACTAAAAGCTGTCCTCCAAGCCTCCTTGGTAGTGCTAGTAGTCTACATTATACAGGCCCAAGTCTCCTTGAAAAGAGGCTGTTCTGAGCAGGGGCTTTCTGTAATAATATCACTTCAATCGGCTAGAGGAGGACTCTGGAATCTCTTTTTTGTGATGAAGGACTGTGCTTGTGCTCACAGTTCCTCCACCAGTTGTCAGAACTTTGTAGCTGATCTTTCTGAAGTTTCTGTAAAGGTAATTACATGTTTCATAACACAAGCAAAAAGCTTAATCTCACAGTCATGGGTTTTTTTTAAGTATACTTAATTGCTGTAACTTTCTTCTTCCCATAGTCTGTAGCCCTGAGGCTAGGTTGAAATTATTCCATGTTCACATGAGGAGAGATGAAAAAGCATCATGTTTATTGGCACCTGTCCAATTTGAACCTTGTAGTCAGATAAAGATGCTAGTTACACAAAGTCAGGCCAGAGATCTAGCTGATTACCTCTCGTTCTTCTCTGCTCACCTTCTGGCTTCACTTCAAGTGAGAGTGTCTCCAGCTCTTCTAGACGCTACTTCTTCTCAGAGCAACCCTGCTCCATGGCAGATTCATCATTATTGTAAAATTAAACTTAAAATTTCACTCCAAATATCTCCAAAATCTTTGTCTTAAAATTTTTTCCCAAAATAGTTGGAGAAAAGGGACATCTCCCAGCCAGTCCACCAGATGGAAGGGCAAACTATAGCATGGGTTGAGTTTGAAGGTGAAAAAGAAAAGGGAATTTTGTATTGGATTACTATAGCCAAAAATTTTGAAGATTAGAAAGGACAGAAAAACTAGGGTCTGAATCTACAATCTCCTGTGAGTGGGCATTTAGGATACCCAGTGTGTACTCAGGAAGCAGGGTCTCACAGGGGAGTTGATGATTAGAGGAGACTGAACTTTTTCCCATAGGAAAAATGTTTTATCAAAACTTGAATGATTTGCAGAACACAGTATAGGTTCTCAGGGCCAGCATAGACTTTCTTTCAAAGAACTATCCCAGGTTCAACTGCCTGGTCCTGTTGATTTAGCAGAGGCACTTGAACCTGAGTTCTGTAACCAAGGCAAGTGCCATAACCAGTGGCTCACCCCAGTTAAAACCCCCAGTTACAACACTGAGCTAGCATGTGGGACACTGTCTGATTCAGAACAAGGAGTTGAACTTGAGTTTCATTCATTTCAGGAAGTGCTGCAGCGTGGGTCTCTCACTTGCTAAGAAAGGTTTCAGTTTCATTGCACATCAGAATAAAAACAAAATTTCAAAACGTTTATATTTTTTGTGAAATGGAATTGTTTTCTGACTGGCCCTTGCAAACCTTGTAAAAATTAGAAAAAATGGGTTTTTTTGAAAGCATAATAGGAAGCAGACTGTAGAATAGAAACAAGAATACCAGGGCACTTGCAGCTTTGTGTGATACTAGACCAGCATCAGTAGCATCTGATTCTCCATTGCCCTGCTTTGCATCTACACATGCATTTAATGCTATTTAGACTTAGTGCACAGTAATTTACTGCGCAATAAGACAGCCCTGTTCGGAGCAGATTTGCTCCTTATAAGATTAAGCAGATCCAGGCCTGCTCCTGCCCTATTCTAACCTCCTCCAGTAGCCAGGGGGAGCTGCAGGGTCCCGATCTAGCTGCCCAGGTGCCAGGGGTCTCTGGGAGGGAGAGGGGAGGCAGGCTCAGCCTGGCAGAGGTCTCCATGGCAGGCAGTCTCAGCCTGGCCAGGGATGCTCTTCTGGGAGCCTGTGATGAGTACACCACGGACGCTCCCCGCCCTCCCCACGGCAGACAGGGTCCCATGTTCGCAAGGCTCTCATGGACCATCTCATCCCCCACCCCCTACAATAGGGCACCTGGGAGGTTGCCCGCAGTCCCCAGGCCTATAGCGCACCCCCAAGACAACATGCATCCTGTACAGTTTCCAATTAACAATCTTTATTTCTCTCTACCACAACACACTCCCTCCCACCCTCCCTCCCCAACAACGGCTCCCACCCAACACCCACCATCAATAAAAAACCCTCTTCCTGGTGCAACTGTTTGCAACAGTGTAGCTGGTGCAATGTCAATGGGGAATGGTGGGCTGGAGGTGCCTATGATGCAGAGCCTGGGGAGAGATGTCTAGCACCCCAGCTTTTGGCAGCACCACAGGTGTGGATACTGCAGAGAGGCTGGTGATCTGGGGGCTTAAGCAGGGCTGAGGCACTGTCCAGCCTGCTCTCCCTCCTCCTCCATGGGGCTGGGCCCAACAGGGGCCATATTCTCAGGGGCTACATGGCAGGCAGGTGAGTAGTGGGCAGCAGCCCAAATGGG